TATTTCTTAATACTGAAGCAACCTTCTGATACAGTTGGAAGTGTATGGTTGGAGGAGACCTGGGATCACAGAAGGGAGAATGCTGCCAGAATTTAAAAAGAAAGAAAGAAAAGCAGGAGGAGGGAGAGGAGAAGAAATAAAATAGTTAACTATTATGTGAAGATAATTCAACAATCACTTCTCAGGGGACTACCATGGATGCCATAGGGCAGGGGTCCCCAACCCCCGGGCCACAGACTGGTACCAGTCTGTGGCCTGTTAGGAACTGGGCCACACAGAAGGAGGTGAGCAGTGGGTGAGCGAGAGAAGCTCCCCATCGCTCGCCTTACCGCCTGAGCTCCACCTCCTGTCAGATCAAGTGCGGCATTAGGTTCTCATAGGAGTGCAAATCCTACTGTGAACTGCACACGTGAGGGATCTAGGCTGCGCGCTCCTTATGAGAATCTAACGCCTGATGATCTGAGGTGGAGCTGAGGTGGAGATGCCAGCACTGGGGAGCGGCTGCAAATACAGATTATCATTAGCAGAGAGGTTTGACTGCACAGAGACCACAATAAATCAATTGTTTGCAGACTCATAGCAAAACCCTATCAGTGAGTGGCAAGTGAAAACAAGCTCAGGGCTCCCACTGATTCTGCATCATGGTGAGTTGTATCATTATTTCATTATATATTACAATGTAATAATAATAGAAATAAAGTGCACAATAGATGTAACGTGCTTGAATCATCCCGAAACCATCATGCCCCCACCCACTACCCTGGTCTGTGGAAAAATTGTCTTCCATGAAACTGGTCCCTGGTGCCAAAAAGCTGGGGACCACTGCTATAGGGAAACAAGCAAGAGCTACAGGGCTGTGTACTGCACCTACTTGGGTTCTTTTTTTGCGGTACGCGGGCCTCTCACTGTTGTGGCCTCTCCCGTTGCGGAGCACAGGCTCCGGACGCGCAGGCTCAGCGGCCATGGCTCATGGGCCCAGCCGCTCCACAGCATGTGGGATCTTCCTGGACTGGGGCACGAACCCGTGTCCCCTGCATCGGCAGGCGGACTCTCAACCACTGCGCCACCAGGGAAGCCCCTTGGGTTCATTTTTGACAGGCTGGTTGTAAGGATTGGGATGGCTCCAGCACAGGGTCTAGAACCCAACTGGCCAGGAATTTGATTCTGACACTCAGTAACACACTTTCCTTGAACCCCGGCATGGAATCCTAGGCATTCTCTTGATCTATTTTGAAAAAAAATACCCACAGTTAAGTTGAAGAGTCATTTCTTGCAACTTTATCCATGAATGCGATGGTGTTGCCATATGGAGTAACTCATACTGAAGTCATGGTAGTCAGTTTACACTGCAGGGTTAAGATGAGTTGTCTGGGGGACAGAAATTTCTCCCTAAATCATATATGTATTGGGAACCCTAAGTCTCTGGATGGGTAAAGAATGAGAACATGACCTTACTAACTTAGGTTTGAGAGGAGTCAATAGTCCTGGGACATAACTATCTGACAGAGGGTTGGAGTTCTAGAGCAGAAAATGGAAGCACCAGTGTGATGATGGTGAGGGGGAGTAAGAGCTCACACACTTATTCAAAACATATTTACTAAGCTCTTATTATATATCAGGGACTGTAGTAAGATCTGGGGATAAATAATGAGCAAAATTCAACATGGTTCTCCCTCCAATGGGGTTTACAATCTAACGCCAGGGCTCTTTAAAGTGAAGGTACAAGCAACCCATGGATTGAACAAGATGGGACAGTCAGGAAACTACAATGCAGAGTGAAAAATGCTCTAATGGAAACCAAGATACACAGACAATAACTAAGGCATATCTGTCAAGGGCATATGAAAAGGCGTCCTTTGTTTTTATTTTTGTTTTTTTTGCGGTACGCGGGCCCCTCACTGTTGTGGCCTCTCCGGTTGCAGAGCACAGGCTCCGGACGCGCAGGCTCAGCGGCCATGGCTCACAGGCCCAGCCGCTCCGCGGCCTGTGGGATCTTCCCGGACCAGGGCACGAACCCGTGTCCCCTGCATCGGCAGGTGGACTCTCAACCACTGCGCCACCAGGGAAGCCCAAAAGGCGTCCTTTGAAGGCTAGGAATAAAATAATAGAAATTTGTGTTTACTTTTCTCTTAAAATACGAAAAGTTATTTAATATTTAATGTATGACTTGACAGTTATATAAGTCCATAATTAAAAATAAATACAGATATTTTGGTAGTATGGCCGAAACATTTTGATAGGTGAACACAGCAAAAACAATTGTGTCTGGGTAAAACTGGAGATTTTTGGAATATCAAGTTAAATTTGAAACTTTTAAAACCTGGAAGGATAGAACTTGTTAGGGTGATGAAGAGCTGAACCAGCTCTGGCCTTGAACTTCGGGCAGAAAAGTGAAGAATAAAGGAGATACATTTGCCCAACTCTTCTAGGCCTCTGGCATATGCTTTTCACCCGCCCCTTGACAGACAGTTCTTCATTAATCTCCTTATCTTGGTTTCCATCGTAGTGTTTACCATTCTGCATGGTAGTTGTTTCCTGACTATATCATTTCACAGGGGGAGGGGATCCTTGCAGTTTTTTATTTCTAACACCTAGCATAGTATCTGTCAAACTGAAGTCAGTGTTTGTGGAGTTGAATGGCAATCGACTGTTAAAAATCTTGTTATTTGTTTATGTTTACATTATCTCATTTGTATATAGTTTGTACACCTGTATTCTTAAGGCAATGGGCAATGGCCGAGGTCCTGGAACGGCTGGCACATGATAAACATTGTAAATACGTAAATGAATAAACTTGCCTACATTAAACAGTTGACCATGTTGGGTCCGTGGGCATGAGGTAATAGAAATACAGCCAGAGGGCACTGGGAGAAAGGCTTAATTTCTGGGGCTGGATATGGGGAAAGCATAGGATACTAGGATGATGAAGGCCTTAAGTTATCCAAATATCAATGAAAAACAGCAAGGATCTTCCACTTGTGCCCTGAGCACAAAGCACTTTGTCTTATGTGCTTAAACCTGTCTAGCTGAAAAGACGTCACTTACTCCACCACATTTTCTCCTTCTACAAAAAGTCTTGAGGAGAGATGGAGTTGGTAGTGATCACTAAGGGAAAATCAGAATCCCTAAGAAAAATCACGGTAAATCTACCCACCAGGAGTTAAGCTATAGCATCAGTTTTGAGCGCTTTTTTGTTGTTGCCTTATCTTGTTCGCGCCGGTGATCTCCGCAGGCATTTAACCCTATCATCCAAAACCAAGAAGAACTGGCTCCCTTCCAGAACCCGCGAGGAGACTGCAGAGTGGGTTTCTGCTGTCCAAACGCGGCCACACAACCTCGCCACGCCTGGCACTAAAAGAATCAGAGTTCAGGGCATCGGGAACTTCACTGGTGCTATTGCGCAGGCTCTGCGTTCCACGCAGGCTTATTAGGAAGAAAGGGGATAAAATTGCCCAGAGACACGTGAACCGGAGGGGACCAACCCAGACCACGGTTCCCCACTGCGTCGGATTCTGGAATTTACAATCACGAAAGTTCTATTGTCTCGCGATTGGCTCCGGAGCCGCATGACATCATAGCGCTTGATTCGGCCTCCCGGCGGCGATTGGCTGGCCGCGCCATTGTGACGTCACGGTCAGCCCACGTTCAGATTGTAGATACCCGGAGCCTTCCTCTTCCCATCCCGGCGGCTGCTGCTGGCCCGGCACTCCCTCCCGCCTCCTCCTGGCTCGGCTGGCCCCGGGCGCTGCCGCCGCCGCCTCGCCACTTCTTGGAGCCGCAGCCACCCTCGGCCTAAGAGGTAAGCGGGCGGCTCCAGGAAACTTCGCCTGGCCGCCGCTCGGCCATGACACCCGCGCCGGCGCGCGGCCGGGACCGAGGGTTGCGACCCACCATTGGGTCCTGAGCCCGGTGCGCACGAGCGACTGCCGGCTCGGCCCGCGCTGCGCCCGCGTGGCAGAGAAGTTCGGCAGCTCCGGGGTCGCTGGCCTGCTCCCGGGCGCGATGGCGGGCGGGGTGAGAGCTGTGCGGGCGTCTCAGGAGTTTACGCGCGATGCTGTCTCACCTGTTCGGCGGTGGAAGCAGTCGGCGGGCGGTGTGCACGCTGACGGGCGCGGCGGGAACGCACCCGGCGCGCCGACGGGAAGTGGGGCGGGTGGGCTCTTGCTCTCGGGTCTGCCCGCCCGGGCGGGATGAAGGCGCGGCCGGAGGTCCGGGGAAGAGCCCCGAGAGCGATCGCGCTTCCTCAGGGGAGAACAAAACCCGAGGGAGCTGGGAGAGCTGCCACGGGGTCGCAATGCGCGGGTCGGTGCGCGGCGCCTCTGGCCTTTCCTTTTCTTTCTTACCCTCCCGCCTCTGCCCCTCGGAGTGGGAGCCCGCTAGCCCGGGAACGCTTCGGTTTTTATTAAAACCAGATAACTGTAGCCCGCGGATCCTCGGGGAGGCCGGTGGGGAAGCGCGGGGGAGGGGACTGGAGAGCCACCTGGGAGACCCTAACTGGAGTCTGAGCGCGGGGCCGGCCGGGGAAGCCCTGGGGTCGCGTCTGCTGCGAGTGGCAAGGAAAAGGCTCTTTTACAGTGTACACGCAATAAGACTCGGCCCCCACCCCATCCCCGCTGTCTGCACGCCCGCCTCGGGGTGGAGGGAGTCGTGCCTGGAGCAAGGCTTGTTCTTTTAAACTGTGTCTTGCAACCGTTCCGTGCCCTTGCACTTTTAGGTTGATGGTTTCCCTGCTCACGATTGTAGTTCAGCTCAGCTCCTGGCTTCTTGATTGCAAATTGGATAATGCATTTGGCCCACTTTGGGGTGAGGGGTGAGGAGTCCCGTATGGAAGAATCCAGTGCATGACTTGTGAGCTGGGCTGCGGAACCTAGGCATGCGGCGGGAGAATAGTGGGGAGCGAGCAGCCTTAATTCTTTAATAGCGGGCCCCGTGGCAGGAAGTGCTTTCTTTATAGGGTAGGACGGAAGAGCTAACGTTGCTTGTTAGGTTTTGTAACTTGTTCGCCTAACCATTCCGTAGATAACCTGTTGGTGTGCACTTGTTTTGCTCGCACCACCTCTCAGCCAACAGCGTTCGGTGCATAATCTCAGATAGGGACACAGCCTATCTGTGGACGAACACTTTAACTTTCCGTCTGCAGTTAGGGATAAGCGGATCACTTTTTTAGTTCGTTCGGAAGCTGCCTGGGATTCTCCAAGGAAAGCTCCGTACTTGAAAGAGAAATGTCACTCACGTCCCTTTTAGATTCTGACCCCAGATTATAACTTCTCATTGCCAGGAATTTTTTCTGTACAGTTCCTCTTTTTTGTATTTCTTTTCTGTTTCTAACTGAAGACAAAAGGGAGAGTGTTATTGATGGTTACAGATGGTTAATTTTACAGAATATAGAACAGAACTGGGCTGAAAAGTGAACGTAGAAAGTGTATTAAGATTTGATGGCCAGATTTTTTTTCAAGAAAAATACATCATAACTTCAGACACTGTCCTCACCCTCTTGACTCAATTTCCTCGTCTGTCCACAGGTTTCACGTTGCAGAATTGTTAGGGATTCCAAGAGATGACACAGTTGAAAGTGCCCAGCATGGGGCTTGCCAAATAGTGGTTTGATAAATGTTTCTTCTTCACTTATTTTTCTTCTTGGGGAAGGGGAAGTGAGGTTTAGGGGATGTGGCCAAGGACAGCTGGAGAATCTCAAGTAACTGGGAAAATATTCAAAACTAGGTTTTCACAGACACTAATGCCAGCATTCCTGCAAAGTCACTTTTGAAAATGAGGTGAGTTATCTCCTTCCCTGGGATCGACTGAGCTTCCTTTTTCTTTTTTGTGCGGGAGGGGTGTCAGAATTCTTAATTTTTGGATGTCTGCAAGGATCTTTTTTCCACTGCCCGCTCTTTTCCTCTTAGCATAACGGTTGATTGCCCTCCTGTTTGTAGGAGTGAGTATCGGTACTTGGGTGTCTTATTTCCAACTTGAATTATACAAATCAAGGCAAAACTGTTTACTTTCCTTTAGGGTGACTTTGATGCCTAAGTAGATAGTAGAGAGTGTGAGTGATGGTTTTATTTCTTTCTTCCCCTAAGAAAATTTGTAATTAAGTCTAATACCTCTTTATGCCTACCAACTCTTTTACTGATGGGATAATCTTTCCATTAGTTAGTTCCCAAAATAGGTCTGTCTTTGCATGCATTCAGTTTCAGGTATTACTGATGTGAGCACCTTCCTATTAATAGTTGCTTTCCGTACATAATTCTTACAGCCTCCCTGTGAGAAGCGCTATCCCCTACCTCTTTTATAAAGAATTGAGAACTAAGGCCTAGAGATGCCAAGTGACTTGTCCAAATCACATAGCTCTGTCTTCTGTAACATACATGCTCCTTCCTCTGTCCTTGCTGCTGGGAGGATTTGGTCAGTGGGCTCTGCCCTTTATGTAACTCTGTTACTCTGTAACTTAAAACTCTAACCTCATGATTAAAGGTCCATCTTCGAGCCATCCAAGATTAACAATTTGCCATTTTTAAATCTGTGTCAAGTCTGTTCCTTCCTTTTAGCCCACATTTGATTTACTCTCTTTATTAATTAATTGACTTGTCAGTTACTGAGTGTGTACTGTGTGTGTGTGTCTTGGGGGAAGAGGTTGTATACAAAGCTGAAGGACAGTTTCTGACTCCAAAGGGCTTCCTGAATGAGTTTACAACTTTAATCCTTTTATACCCATACTTAATCTGCACCTTCTACTAGAAGGGTATCAGAAGCAGATTTCCAGGGGGCTTGTCTCACTGTTTCTGGGAAAGCTTTATGGCAGAGCTCACCATGTTAGATGTATCAGTGCCTAGCACTTATGGGCCTGTTTTTCGTGCAAGAGACAGAAAACCCAATGCAGATGGGCTTAAATGACCATCTGACCTGAAAAGTCCCATAGGCAGAACTTTTGCTCTGTTTCTCTGAAGTCTCCTCAGATGTTGGTTATGTCCATAGGCTGATTTTGCAAGATGACTGCCAGCTAGTCTGGACCCCTTGTTACCATATTCTCATGTGGGAACTTCCCTTCCCACCACCTTCCAAAGAGGGTCCTTGGCTTTGAGGTGATTGATTTTGGCTTTGGTTACTTGAAGTAATAACTAAAACAATGAAATCTGATAACCTGGGGCCCATCCCAAACTGAGGAAGTGGATTTAAATCTCATCTCACCTACCTGGCTGCTAACTACACTTTCAGGAAGGGCCTCTGTGGACATGGGGGTGTGTCGGCTCTAAGGGCCTTCAAGGATGTCAGGCCCCATCAAAGAGATGATTGGATTGAATGAAACAGAACTGAATCAATATTTGAATTTCACTTTACCCGTCATAGAGGAATCTTATGGGCGCACAGAGGTCAGAGGGTGGGCATTCTAGGAGAGGGAGTTTGGAGAGCAAACAAGTGAATCATTGGGCATTAAAGCAAGTAGCCCAGTTGCCTGAAGCTAATAGGGCAGAAGTGGAAAGAAAGGTTAGAAAGGCAAGTTGGCGCAGTGGTTGAGAGTCCGCCTGCCGACGTAGGGGACACGGGTTCATGCCCCGGTCCGGGAAGATCCCACATGCCGCAGAGCGGCTGGGCCTGTGAGCCATGGCCGCTGAGCCTGCGCTCTGCAACGGGAGAGGCCACAACAGTGAGGCCCGTGTACCGCCAAAAAAAAAAAAGGGGGGGGG